TTTCCACAGTAATCACAAATGAAATGGGAGATAGCATCCAATCATTGTGGAAGCTCTCTTTCGAAAAAGCAGAGAGATTTCTCCTTGCGCTATTGCTGTGTAGACACTTTCTTTTGAAAGAAGTTTTTCCAGAAGATCTCTTCCAGAATAGCTTCTTCTGAAAGAAGCCTGCTGTGGAGACGTAGCCATATATGTGTGGAAAGAAAGGGAGGAAGGGAGGAAGGGAGGGAGGGAGGGAGGGAGGGAGGGAGGAAGGAAGGAAGGAAGGAAGGAGTTCCCCTCATCTCAAAGAATAAAATGGGTCCTGTCTAAAGAACTCTATCACTTCCTCCCTATTTTTCTATACCCTAAAACTTGCTCTATCAGATTCTGTGCCTGTTTTTGAATGCGATCAATTTCACAATAGCTTTTGTCAGGGACTTTTTGACCTCCTTGTTCCTCAGGCTGTAGATAATGGGGGTGATCATGGGATTCAGGACTGTGTAGAAGAGCGAGAACACTTTGTGAAGGACCGTGGACGTGTTGATTGATGGAAACACATAGACAATGATAAGGGTCATGTATAAAATGGACACCACAATGAGGTGGGAAGAGCAGGTGGAAAAGGCCTTTTGCCGCCCGATGGAGGACGGGATTCTGAGGATGGCGGTGATGATACAAACATAGGAAGCCAATGTCAATAGCAAAGGCACAACCGTTCCTATAGCAGAGATAATTAATGTCACGAGTTGTAGAGTTCGGGTATCACTACAGGAGAGCTTCATCATGGGTGAAAAATCACAGAAGTAATGGTCAATTTCTTTGGAGTCACAGAACGTTAATGAGAAGAAGAAATAATTTAGTGTGCCAACAACCAGAAAAGTACACAGCCAACACCCCACCACTAGCTGGCAACACACCCGTCCGTTCATCAGCGCTGCGTATCGGAGGGGATGGCATATCGCTAAATACCGATCGTAAGACATGGCCGTGAGCAGCAGGTTTTCTCCCGTTTTCATGATACCAAACGAATATAATTGCGCAAGGCAGCAGTGAACACAAATTGTCCTGTCCCCAGTCAGAAGCTCTGCCAGGAGGACGGGCAGGATGGTGGAACTGTAGCAAATCTCCACACAATCCAAGTTCCCCAGGAAGAAGTACATGGGGGTGTGAAGATTATGATCAACGACAACTAACGCAACAATGAGGAGGTTTCCAGCAATCGTTACAATGTAGATGAGTAGAAACAAGAGGATGAGAAGAGGCTCCAGTCCGGAGACATCCCCAAATCCTAAGAGGATGAATTCCATGATGAGGGTTCGATTTCTTCCGTCCTCTTTCTCCATATTATGAATCTAGAAATGTAACACCATAAGATATTGAGGTAGCAAAGGCATTCAACTTCCACCGTCAGTTACACTTGATAGAAACACGGAGTAGGTGATTTTGGATCACTGCACCTCTGCCCGGCAAAAGTGGGGTTGTCAATAAACCGGGAAAAACTCATTTCAATAAGAGTTTGAGCTTCCAAGAACTAAGAGCATGGAACCCTATGGAATTACAGAAATGTTCCTTTCAACTCCATGAAGTTCTCATGAACTTTCAATATGGACTTCTAAGTTGGGATTTTTGAAGGAGGATCGAACCTCTTTAGTCCGGCACTCTCTGGTCCAGACAGATCCATTGTCCGGCATGTTTTGAGTTAGCCAGATGTCCAATTTCATAGGTGTAGCCAAGTTCCTCTTGGTCCTAAAAAAGTTTGTTTACAACCACTAGTCCTGGCTCTGAGTGTTCTGTGCTGTTATTTAGCTCTAATATACCCCAACATGTCTTCTTAGATCCCAGCAGACTATAAGAAGTGTTGGTAATGTTGCTAGACAATATTGACCTCTCTGGTCTGGCAAATTCTCTGGTACAGAATTGGTCAGGTCCTGAGGGTGCTGAACATCAGTGTCATATCAACAAATCTCTGTGACATAAAAAGATCATTACATTGGTTAGGAAAGATACTCAGAGTTCAATTGCAGGTAGGTCTACCCTTTAGTTGTGAGTTGAAATGCTCACCTTGGGAACACGTACATGCTCTTACATTGATGAAGCTAGCAGAGTAAACTAACCAGCTTCATTTGAATGTACACAAGTTCAACTGACATGGCATCCAACCATTGATACAGAAAACGAAGTGAAAAAAATGAAAACACATGAAGAAGTCTACGGAGGTCATGGGGGAGGTCTAGGCTGGGCATTAGGAAAAACAATTTCTTGATGAGGGTGGGGAAGCAGTGGGATGTGTTTCCTAGGGAGGGGGTGGAATCTCTGTCTGTAGAGGTTGTTAAGTTCCGGCTTGACACAACCCTGGCTGGGATGATTGAGTTACAGTTGGTCCTGATTTGGGCGGGGAGCTGGACTCTATGATGTCCTCAGGTCTCTGCCAGCCCTAGGAGTGTATGATTCTAAGGGTATGTCTACACTTGCAACCTATTTCTAAATAGAAATGCAAATGAAGACTTTCGAAATTGCAAATTAAGCTGGGATTTAAATATCCCGCGCTTCAATTGCATAATAGACTTACGGCGCTATTTTGAAATAGCGCTATAGTGAAATAAAACACACTGAATAGATGCGTTATTTTGAGAGAAAACCCTTCTCTTGAAATAATGTTAAACCTCATTTTAGAAGGAATAAGGGTTATTTTGAGAGAAGGGTGTTCTCTCGAAATAACGAGTTTGTACAGTGTGTTTTATTTTGAAATAATGCTCTTTCGAAATAGCGCCCTAACAGGATTATGCAAATGAAGTGCTGGATATTTAAATCCCAGCTTCATTTGCAATTTTGATTGTCTTAATTTGCACCCCTATTTCAAAACAGGAATAGATACACAGACAGAATTAGATGAATACATGGACACAAAGAGAGAGAGAGAATGAGATAGTGAGAGAGAGAGAGAGAGAGAGAAAGAGAGATTGATTAGTTACCCAGTTTATGAGCAACAAAAAGAGATCCTTACTGTTACAGGAAAGGAACTGGAGACAATAACTGTGACAGCTCCTCCTACGACTCAATTCTTGATCTATCCTGCCTTCTAAATACCTCAACATCTGGTGTGTGAAGTACTCCTATATACACTCTCTACACCAGGAGTTTCAATGGCTCATTGACATTGGTGGAACATCCGTGTAGGATGGAAGAATGGAAATGGAGAAAGAAAAAAACAACCCGCCTGTACACAGTGAAGAAAAACGGCATTTTTTCAAAATAGTAAACGAGCAATAAAATTCATTTGGTGAAAAATAAAATTCTCACACGAGACTCTAATAAACTAGAACGACTCCTGGAGGACAGGTCCATCCATGACTTCTTGATGTCAAAAGCTGGAAATGGGTGACAGGATATGGGTCCCAAAATTATCAATGGTTTTGTTAATTCCCTATAAAGCACCTGGCTTTGGCCCCGGTTAGAAGACAGGGTATGTCTACACTAGCCCCCTAGTTCAATCTATGGAGGCTAATGAGGGCGACTGAAACTGCAAATGAAGTGTGTTATTCCAGGAGGAATACCAGCTAATTCGATTTAGGGCTTTAATTTGGAATCTCGTTTCACTATCGCGTGTAGATGCGGGCAGTTACTTTGGGCTAGTCAATTTCTAAAATGGCGACTGGCCAGGAGCATGCAAATAAAGTACGAGATATTGAAATCCCGTATTTCATTTGAAATTTCGGTTGCTCTCATTAGCCTCCGTAGATCGACCTAGGGGGCTAGTGTAGATGTACCCACGGGCTACTGAACTGGATGGACCTTTCCTCTCACCCAATATGAGCCTTACTTATGTTCTAAATGTGAGAGCCGTTCTTTGTTCTCAACCACCTTTTGCTATAACCAATCTGCAATTTGTTCATAGAATCCCAGGGCTGACAGAGACCTCAGGAGTCAGCAAGTCCAGCCCCCTGCCTGAAGCAAGACCAGACCCAACCTAATCATCCCAGCCAAGGCTTGGTCAAGCCGGGACTTAAAAACATCTAGGGATGGAGATTCCACCACCACCCATTCCAATGCTTTACCATCCTCCTAATAAAATAGTTTTTTCACTAATATCCAACCTAGACTTCCCCACTGCAACTTTAGACCATTGCTCCTCATTCTGCCATCTGGGTTCTCTCGCAGTGCTACCTGGAACTGGGGTTCCACTCAACCTTCTCACCCACTCGCCTTCAATTCCTCTCACACTGTGCTGCTGTGGATAGCTGCCGACTCATTCCTAGGCCTACACTTCCTGCAGTATTTACAAAGGAAGGAATACGTGTAGCTGTGGGTACAAGCAGGATCTCTGACCAGGCTCTGCATGAGCCAACAATAGAAAGTTACAGTGGAGACCACCTCCAGCTCCCCAGCCTAGGACTTCACAGATGCACGGCCCTGCCTTGCTCAAAATCCCGAGACGCGGGATTTCATTACTTGGTTCGCCTTCCGCTCAATGAGGAGAGGAACATGAGCCCTCATGCGAACCAAGTTGAGATTCTCCCCCGGATGCTTCATTTCAGGGGACCCTGGTTAAGGTTAAGCTACCGAGAAGAGTGTTAATTAGAAAATAAAGAGGGTACGTGATTTTGCCAAGCAGAACACAGCGCCAGCAACGAAATAAAAATACAAACAAAGGATAACACACGAGTTACATTAAGTATGAAGGTGCAGTGTCTCACCCTGACTGATGACACCAGCAAAGTGGCAGAATCTCAAGGCAAAAGCTTTGCTACGATAGTTTTTCAGGCTTCTCAAAATACCCTAGAAATCTCTTTTGTCTGAGTCTATATCCTCCCCCCAATTTCGTCTTTGTTCCTCAGGTCTTTCCAGGAGTCCTCTTGCGCAGGAAGGGAAGAAGAACTGGTGATGTTACCCTCCGGTCTGTATAGATTTCGTGCAGGGCGGGAACCCTTTGTTTCGATACTTAATTCCCAGACCATTGTGTGGAAAAATACAAACATCTCAAAATGGTGCCCAGAGACACCAGCCTGGCCAGTGCCCTTGGAGAGTCAGAGCAACCATTAATTACCGGCTCTCTGGAGACTTCTCAAGAAGGTTCACCAGGTGGGAAAGAAACTTCTCCCAAGGCCCATGATTTTCCCTAGTTGCTCGTTACCCGGAATAGGCCCTCCCAACCAGCTCACTAGACGAGTCATCTCTCCTAGTGGGAGTTTCCAGGAGTAGCTACACTGGAAATAGCGACAGATGCATTAATGACAACATCAGATAAAACCATAATACATGCATACAAATAGGAACATCATAGGCAGGAAATCAGAATTGTTCCAGGGACACCTTATACAGCCTGACTTGCACTAAAGGCCTAATTATTCTCCACTAATAATCTCATCACAAGATCACTCTGAAGAAAATGGCAGACATTGCTTCAATGATCAACTTCCTTACTGCTCCTTTTGGCTAGCTCACGTAATCCTCTTGTTTCTTAGGGTACGTCTAGACTAAACTGTAGTTTTGAAAGAGGATATGCAAATTTCTAAT